CTATTCATCAAATAATCCTGAAAAAAAAAATATATATTTTCCACAAAAGATGTATTAAAATGTAAAACAGTTATTTTAAATTGTAATAACATTTCACAACATTACTGTTTTTACTGTTGATCAAATAAATGCTGTCCTAGTGGGCATAAAATTTTTTTCATTGTTTCCTACCATCATGATGGAATTTACCTACAATCAGAGCACTTCCTTCTTACTCCTTCTTACTACCACTTACCTCAGCAATTATTGATATGTGAGCAATTTGATTAATTCATTGTTGTATATTAAGTTTTTTTTTTCTAGAAAATGTATCAAATATTGCTAACTGATTGACAGTCATAGTTATTAATTGATGTGAGATTTATGTAATATTCTGAATCATGCTCACCTCCTCTACATGCTTATTGGGCTTGTGGGTGGGGCTTCCGTTGGGGGCGGTGTTGGGTTTGAGGGGGGTGGAGGGGTGAGAGGATGAGGAACGGCTGCTATTGGACAGCTGCCTGCTCAAAGAACCTCCACTCTCTTTTTTCTGGTACTCCTGAGGGTTCTGGAGAGCTGATGAAAAACAGTCGAGGAGCAGGTTATGAATGAACCAGCAACTGAAGATACCAACTGCCACCTCATAATGCGCTCACCCGTGAGGAAGTTGATCTGCATGTCCAGCAGTTCTCGGATGCTTTGAACCCACTCTTTCTTGATGTCGATGTTAGCGGCCTGTAGCGTCAGTCGTTCAGATGAGCCACGACATGACAGCACAAACTTACAGAGGTCGCTGTCCACATGTTCCTCCATGCTCAGGTAGCTCACCTGCACAGGTCAACACACAAATAAAACTTTTAAGACTTTATTTCAAGTTGGGTATTTTGTTTCTTACCGAACTTGTATCAACTTGTGCTGAATGTACCTTGATGCTCTTTTTAAACTGGTACCCTGGTGTTGACGAGCCCTTCCGAAGCAGCTCACTGAAGATGATGATCTGTTCGAAGAGGAACACTCTGCGCTCTTTACTGCGGGACAGAACGCCAGAGTCCTGCTCTGTCACAAAGAACGTGTCCTGCTGCAATAACTTCCCCTGAGCTGTCAACTTCCCCTGTGCAAACAAACATAAGCAATCCTAAGCAATCATCAAAGCACTGATAGATACAGTATATCTGCACCTTTTCATCACCTGATATTTCAAGAAAGTCAAGGTTATGTACTTTTGTTTCTGTGATTTTCCAGCACTGCACCTCAGACAAACTGTCTGAATTTTTGAAAGCAGATTTGGTTGTAGAATGGTGTGTGTGTGTGTATATGTGGCCTGTGCATCTGTGTTACTGAAGCTTGTTTCTGCCACAGAATAAAAGATAAAAAAGATAATTGCAACTTTTTCTCATAATTGCGAGTTTATTTCTTGCAATTATAAACTCGTAAGTACACCTCCTAATTTAGATTTTTTTTCCCCTCAGAATTGTTATAAACTTGCAATGGCGAGTCGACATCTCGCAACTGACTTTTTTTCCTCAGAATTCTGAGTTTACATCTTACAAGTGTTTTTTTGTTTGTTTGTTTCTGCCACAGAGTAAAATCTAAAAAAAGCAATTGTGATATATTGAGTTTATTAATTTTTTCTTTTTTTTCCCCTCAGAATTGTGAGATATAAACTCAATTGCAAGAATTTTTGCAATTACCTTTTTATTTTTTTTTATGCTGTAGCAGAAACAAGCTTAAATACTTTGTGACTTTTATGCCATCTTTAGGTAGCAGTTTACACTTCTTGGATGCAGCTTGTGCAATTTTTCAGGACTTTCTCTCTTAACACATAAAATAACTGCATTTTTCTGCATTATTATTTGGAACTTCATTAGTTTGTTAGTCCATTACGTCAAACTTACAGCTGATTGGTCCGTTGTAAGTGAACATTCCAGTTAAGACAAACGTCTCGGGTTACTTATGTAACCATGGTTCCCCGAGTAGGGAACGAGACACTGCGTCCTCTAGGGGTCGCTATGGGGGAATGCCTCGTCGTGACCCATGTCTGAAGCATACATTGAAAAAACACCAACTCGTTGGCCGGCGACAGCCATGACGTCACTACCGGTGTGACTATAGTATAAATAGGCGCCGGGAGCACACATCATTCACTTCTTCGTCTGAAGCTTGCGTCCGCAGCATGGCAAGAAACCTAGAGGACGC